TAAAATAAAATAAACAGCACTTTGTAGCCTGTACTTTTATACATATTTCCTGACTAAGCCCAAGAGCCAAATCAGACTTTCCTAAGAGGTTCTTCTCCCCTCAATGTCTGATTTATACATCACTTATGCATTTGAAGCCAAACAAACATTTTGTTCCCTTGGTGCTAACCTTTGTATTCACTAATCAAAGGCCCTTTTCCTAACTGGTTATGTTGCAGGATTTCAAAAATTTTGTTCCTCCTCCTACTCCTCCTCTACTTCCTCCTCTTTTTCTTCCTCCTCCTCCTCTTCCTCATCCTTCTTGGGTCTCACTATGTAGCCCAGGCTAGCCTAGAACTCTCTAGGTAGACTAGACTGGCCTCAAACTTACAGACTCTTAAAACTTAACCCAACAAAACCACTTTTTATTACAATTACTTACTTGGCATAGGAAAGAGTGTGTCTCTGAGATCAGAGGACAACTCGCAGGAGTGGAGTTTTCTCCTCCCACTAAAAACATCCCAGGGATTAAACTCAAAGTGACCATATTGCTGGCCAAAGAAATTATTATTTTTTTTTTTAATTTAAGATCAGACCATGGATGACAGCACCTGCCTATAATCCCAGCACTCAAGAGGCAGAGGCAGGATGAAATCTACCTGTTTTGACCTTGCAAGTGCTGGGATTAAAGGCATGCACTACACCTGGCATGTTTCTGTTTCTTATTTCTTTAACAAATAATACTTTTTAACAAACAGATTATTTAAAAGAATAACATACAGCCACTTTCATACCTCAGCTACAAATTTTTATAACTAAATTTTACTTTTCTTCCTTGTAAAAATACAATTTCCTTTGAGTCACTCAAAAGAGCTAAAACAAGGAGGGGTGGACAGAAACCATGCCACATTCTTTGTTATATGACTACCCTAGCAGTGTTTCAAAACTGAGCACAAGATTCATCTACGTAAGTAATATAAAGTAAGGATCTTATCCCATCCCACCCCCCAAAAAATTATAATAGGGTCCAGAACTTTGTATTTTAAATAGGCTTCCCAAATGAGCTTTAGCATGAGGCAAGTCTGGTAATCAATGACCCGGAAATGTTATTGAGTATACAAGAAAGACTGCAAATCTATCATTTACTAAAGCGCAGTAACTAATATATTGCTGTTGAGCCAGAAAGGTGAGGTGACCCATGCCTGTAATCCCACCACTCAGGGAGGCAGAGGCAGGCAGATCTCTGTGAGGTCAAGGCCAGCCTGGTCTATGAAGCCAGTCCAGGACAGCCAAGGCTACACAGAGAAACCCTGTCTCGGGGAAAAAAATAAACAAATAAACAAAAATTACTGTTGAGTCTGGCTTTTTCGTCTTTGAAAACAGATTTAACACATTTAAAACTTGACGCAAACTGTTACTGTATTCAGGCTTAATTCTCATTAAATTATTCTAATTCCATATACCATCTTAGATTCTACTTGGTAAGGAAATTAGGAAGCAAAATGACAGACTTTTAAAACTTAACCCAACAAACCATTTTTTATTACATTTACTTACTTGGGGGAAGAGAGTCTGTCTCCTAGATCAGAGGACAACTCGCTGGAGTGGGTTTTCTCCTCTCACTAAGTAGGTCACAGGGATTAAACTCAAGGTGACCATATTACTGGCCCAAGAAATTATTATTTTATTTAGAATATTGGCAATATCTCTTCATAGGTGAGAGTAAATTAATTAAGTCTACTTAAACTATCTCTCAAGCAATCCCTCACAGTGACACTGTGGAGTAAGCATAACTCTTAATCCCATCCTTAGAGTGAATGACTAATTTTCACTACATTTACACATTAAATAGCCAATCTAGGATTTGAGAGGCAAGAGGGCTATCATATTACTTGTTCGATAGATATACTTCATGCCCATTAAAAAAAGTTATAAGAAAACAAATTAATTTCACTTCTATCTATACTTGTAATCTAAAGGGCTAGGCAATTAATATGCCATTGTTTCAGGCTCTTACAGAATAAAACAATTTGCATCTTAACAAACAGTCCTTAAGGTTTAGCATAAATTTCCTATTATCTGTTTGATAATGTAATTTGATAATATTGGTTCCTAGAAAGGAAGTCCTAAAAGCTCTCAGTAAAGACAAAGACCCTGGGAAACTTTCTGATACCAAAGTTCCCTCCCGGCCAACCTAGGCTACCTAGCTAGTTCAAGGCCAGCTTGAGTTACAAAGCAAATCTTGTCTCAAAAAGACAAAGAAAAGAAGGGAGTGGGGGGGGTACTGGAGCAATGGCTCAGTGGGTAAGAGCACTTGCTTTGCAAGCAGAAGAACCTGAACTCAAGATACTTGTACCCACATAAAAAGGCTGGGCGTGGCCTCAAGCTCCTGTAACCCTAGCACTATGAGAGGCAGTTAGCTAGCTCCAGGTTTAATAAGAAACCCTTTGTCTCGTAGGAATAAGGAAGAAAGTGATACACTAGGACAGCAGGCATCCTCCCTTGGCCTCCATGCATATACCTAACACGCATAGCTCCACATACACTGAACGCGTGCACACACTCAAGAGCACACACCTAAGAATGGTGGCACACAGTTAATAATCCCAGGACTCAAACTGCGGCACAACTATCAAGAATCTAAGGTTTGCCTCGGCTACAAGGCACGTTCTAGATCAACCTAGGCTATGTACCAAGACACTGTCTCAAAAAAAAAAAAAAAAGTTAATAATAAGGACTGGAAAGAAGGCGCAGAGATTAAGGACACCTGCTGCTGTTCTAGAGGACTCAGGTTCAATTCCTACCATCCATCCGGTAGCGCACAACCATCTGTAACCCCAGTCCCAGGGGATCCAACGTCCTTTTCTAGCCTCTGGTAGTACGGCAAGCACACGGTGCATACACATACACTGCAGGCAAACACCCACACGCATAAAATAAATAGAAACAAGTCTTTAACAGGCACAGCAGTTACCGTTACTGTAGGAGGGGCTCGAGTGTGGGAAGTTCATGCAGCTGATTCATAGTGCAGCCTATTCCTTGCCACAGACTCCTGCAGGATACCCACACATTTTCTAACTACCCCCCAGGATGAGTGCCTTCTCCTAATTTTTCTGCCCACAGAGGGTGCTGTTTCCAAATTTGCTTGCTACTATATCTTACTTAAAATAAATGGATATCATTTACTAGTTTTTCTCACCAGCAAATACATTAATTAAATGTTAATCTGATAAAACTCAATATAACTAACAGTTTAGATACAACACAGAGGACAGTGGACAAAGCCAAAGAGATTATTCACTCTTAGGCAGGATAACTCCGTCACTACAATAATCCAGTACAATAGAAAGTGAATGGGTCAACGATATCACAGACAGACACACACACACACATGGGGAGTAGGGAGCCTTTGGAGGTTAAAAGCCAGAGATAGAAAGGAGTACTATGAAACAGTCATCCAGATATGGCCCAGACGTTCCAAATCATGAGCACACAGAAGCAACAGGCATCTGCCCTTCAACATTCCATCACAGGCAGAGCGAGGGCCCAGGTGGTGGGGGTCGGGGAGAGTGCTTCTCAATGGTGCAGCCACCGTTGGCGTGTTTCAGAAGAAATTCAAAGGGAAAGGAAGGAGGATAGAGTGGGTCATGAGGACGAGTACCACCTCAGTACATTACGTGTGTGTGTGTGTGTGTGTGTGTGTGTGTGTGTGTGTGTGTGTGGTTTTCAAAGCTAAAAATGTAACACACAGAGAAATTGAGCAAAACTTCTCCAAAAGCCTCACAGTCTTCTAGTCATGTTAGCACATACCTGAAATTCCAACACCCTTAGGCTGGGCTACCAATTGAGGCCCGGTTTTAACAAGTACCTGACAATTTAGCCACAGTTTTCCCTCATTTCCATTGTTCATGCATTCCAGTTGACTACCTTTACTGTGTTTTTCATCTTATACCATTCAGCCACAGCCACGTTGTCTAAAGCAAAATAAAGGTTAATTAGGAAAAGGGACTAATTAAGGAAATAATCCCATTATGACAATTATAAATACACTTCACTGTGTAATTTATGCCTAAAGACCTTGTCTACCACATTGTAACTTACCTTTACTCTCTGTAAGAACGCTGGAACTTCCAGAATACATGCAATCACAATTTACAGTACTTTTAATCTCAGACCACCTTCCACTAAACCACTTTACCATAAAAACCCGATAAATGCTTTGACCAAATTCTGCACTTATTCTTCAGAGTACACAAAATCACTTTCCCTCCTTCCACCATCAAGCAACCAAAATGCACCTACTTCCTAGAGCCACTTCCTGCGATCCAAACTCTTAAGTCCCACAATCCTGAGAAGTCTCAGGATCATTTCCTGTGATGAGGGACCGATCCCCGCATAAAATTATCATGAGTTTGCTCATGATAGGCCGCTACAGTGCATGGAATATAATATGCACCCAATAAAAGCCAAACCATTACTTATCTCCAAAATACTGCCTAGAGTCTGTATTTTCTTTTCTTCCTTTACGTAGTTAAAGTCCAACTGAATTCATCAGGACATGCATGCATTCACCATAGGCTTTCCAATCCATCCGTTCAATCAATTAATAGTATATGCCCACAGTAACTTTTCACTTACTTCTCTTATCAATTTAAGAAAAGAAAAGAAAACATTTCGTAAGAAATTAAACACTCCAATCCCCCACACTTTTCAGCCAGAGACCTGGCTGGAGTCTAACTAACAACACAAGGCCTGGAAACAGTCGGGATTTTCACTGACTGGAAGGTAGATGAGGGACAACCTACCAAACTCCTGCGTGCCACAATCAAAACTCCAAGTCCAAAGCGGGCCAGAGAAGCCCGAGGCAAGCGGATACAGACCTCATAAAGAAACAACGCTCTCGTTTTCCTTTCCCCTCTACCCATGCTGAAATTAACCACACCCTTTAGTTCCCCCAACAGCCTCCCAGCATCTCCCAGGACTGTCCTCCCACCCATGGAATCCACGGTCGCCAGACTCACAGAGTGTGTCCGCACACGTTCACCATCAGCTTCAGAGAAGGGTTCCGGTATTTGGTGGTCTTGCACCTGGGGCAGCCCTGGTCGTCCATGGCGTCTCCTCAGCTCGGGCTTTTCCCCAACTCCGGCTTGAACTACTGCCACCTACGAGCACCCCCAGACCCGACGTCAACCTGGCTCCTGCCAACAGGCACTTGGCCGGAATGGTCCTTTGCGAAAGAGCACCGGCTAGAAGCCAGGCACTGCAGCACAAAGGTTCCGGGAGTGAGTTCTCGGATCCCGCCGCTACCATTCCACCCTCACCTTAGGTGAAGCAGTACAGTAACTGGGAATCAGAGAAGGGATGCCTTTAAATTATACACCTCTTGCTAACTACATTTTACAAGGAACCATCTCGATAGAATTAGGAAGATAAATTCTTGTTTTGTTTGGAGACGTCCACATGATTTCCAAGGTTGATGCTAGTTTACATTCAATAACACAGACCAGTGTTCTCTTTTTAAAAAGTGGATAGCCTGTATTGTATACAACTTTATTTCAACAATCCCAAAATCTGAGAACCTGACTCTCTTTGGGAATTGTAAGACAAATAAGAAAGCAGTCAGAAGTTCTAAAGAGCTTTTAGTTAATGAACTATTCTTACTGTAAGGGATACATCTTCTCTGAATAAGGATTTACTGATACTTAACAAATGAAGAGTAAATGAATTCATAATATGGCCATCAAATAACGGTAAAATGATGTGGACTTCTTTTTTGGGGATATGGGAGTCCCAGACAGGGTTTCTCTGTGTAGCCCTGGATGTCATGGAAGTCACTATGTAGACCAGGCTGGCCTTTAACTCACAGAGATCTGCCTGCCTCTGCCTCCCAAGTGCTGGGATTAAAGGTGTGTGCCACCACTGGCCCAGGCAAATGTGAACATTTTTAATGCCAAGCATTTCTTGTAATTACCTCCACCTGAAATTCTGTCTGAGGTAAACTTGTAGACAAGGTGTTTAGGTTTTGTTCGTTTCCTTGCATGTATCAGTTGTGGGGTTTCTTTGTTTGGTTTTGGTTTTGGTTTTTCGAGACAGGATTTCTCTGCATAGCCTTGACTGTCCTGAAACTAGCTCTGTAGACCAGGCTGGCCTCAAACTCACAGGGATCCACTTGCCTCTGTCTCCCGAGTGCTGGGATCAAAGGCATGCGCCACCAATGTCCAGCTATTTTTTAACTTTTTTATTACAAGTATTGTGTACATGTGCCCGTGTGTGTGTGTGTGTGTGTGTGTGTGTGTGTGTGTATTCATGCGTCACAGAATGCATGTGATGGCCAGAGGATAACATACAGCAGTTAGTTCATTATTTCTACCATGTGGGTCCTGTAGATTATGGGGTTGGTGACAAATGCCTTTGCTTGCTATGCCATCTCACTAACTCTGTTTTAGTTTTGTTTTAATATTACTTTTATTACTTATTTGAGAATTTCACACACTTTATTTTGATCATATTCAACTCTTCCCCAATTCCTAGATCCACCCTCACAAACTCCCTTCCTACCCACGAAACCTGCCTCCCCCTCTCTTTCTCTATGCCCTCCCCATCCAGGCCGGTTTGTGTTGGCCAGCTGCTCTTAGATTTGGCATCTACCCTGGAGTATATAGTGATTTCTCCATTAAAGAAAAGTGACTCTTCTTTCCTTTCCTGAACGTTATCAAATGCCAATAATTCCTCAGCTAACTGGCCCAACTATGTTACCACCCCTGTTTTATGGTTTTTGTTTTTGTTTCAGCTCTCACACTGGCCTAGAACTCACTGTGCTGTCCAGGTTGACCTCTAACTCACGGCAGTCCTCCTGCCTCCATATTCAGTGTGCTGGGATCCCAAGGGTGAGTCACCACAATCGTTGTCTCAAAAAAGGTTTTCCAAATTAGCCCATTACTTGAATACCGGCTGTATCCATTCTCAGCCATTTTTACCTCTACAGAATTCTCTCCTTTCAATGAAAATATAAAAGAAACAACCCCACTTCCTCTTAAAAACTGAACAAAGCAGTCATCCCTAGGCTGAAAATAAAGTTAGGGCATCTATAAGTTATGGAGGGTGAAAGATGACAAAGAGCTACACATCACATTCCAGAGGCAGCAGGCCGGGAGGGCTCAAGACTCTGACATCAGCGTACAAGCATCAGCGACTCACTTTACAAACTACATTATCTCCTTGATTGTCACGCTGTTCACCAGTAAGAGCTAATCAAACCCAAGTTCACTAAAATAAGAATCATGAGAAGGCGTGCTGGTCTGGAGGCCTGTCGCGCCATACTTTCTGATTTTAAAAGGCCATAGCAAACTTGTCACCAAAAGTGAAACTCTACAAGAATAAAGGTAACATTAGAAACTCCCAGTGAATCAGTGTGGTTCCTGAGCCAAGAAAGGAAGACGGACAGGCAATTTAGTAGAGATGTGTGCTAAGATGTCATCCACTCATCTGGCACTATTGTCTCTTAGCACCAGAACACTCTTTGAAAAAGAAAATTCCTAGCCACACTTTAAAGTGAATTGCTCTTCTTTTCCCTCAAGTCGTAAGATCAAAGAAAAGAAAACAGTAAAACTTATAGGAGGAAACTGCTAGAAATTCTTCCATTTGCCGTGTAGGCCACTGCTAAGCAGAGGAGCCCAGTGACAGAAGTGAAAGCTGACTTGCAACTCTGTCAGAAACACTTTGATCCTAGAATCACATGCAGTAGAAAATACTGTTCATACATGAGCCACGGCACTGAGAAAACTGGGTAGAAATAATGGCCACATTCCTTACGAGTTACATGATGATTCAAGTTTTGGTTTTCCCAATAATAAATTGAAGATAATACTTGTACAGTCCAAAAGAGACATTTCATTTAAAATGCTTAACACTGTATGTGTTGACTGTCATTCCTAGTAATGATAGTACCAGTAATATCAAAAGGCGGTATAATGAATAAGAGAAGCATGACCTTCTTTCAAATCAGACAACTGGACTTGAGCCAACCTTTTGTAGCCCTTACCTTAGTTTCCTTCAACAGTGTGTTATAATGATGAAGTTGAAGCCTGCAGGGAGTGGTGTACCCCTTTAATTCTAGCACTCAGGAGGCAGAAGTAGGGGGAATCTCTGAGTTAGAGGCCAGCCTGATCTACAAATAGAGTTCCAGGACACCTAGGACTACACAGAGAAACCCTGTCTTGAAAGTGATGATAATAATAATAATAATAATAATAGTTGTGGTGATGATGATGGTGAAAATGTATAGCTTGGGCTTACATAGTGGACTCGCAACACTGTGTGTACAAACAGAAGCTCTGAAGTACTAGATAGCAAGATAGCTTTGAGAGAGCAGTGTTGACAGTACCAGACTTCTGATTCAAGTGGAAGCTCAATCTGTTGGAAGAAAAACAAAAAACAAAAACAACAACAACAAACCTGTCAAGCTTCTGGCCTTTCTGAAGACAGCTACCTGAACCAATTAAATACATTCTTGCTTCTGCCAAATCTGCCGGTCCAAGTTAACAATGAATCTACTTCCCTGGGCAGTGTTTTTTAAATGCAAACTTCCTTCCTTGCCCCAGGGCTACAGATTTATTGGGTTTTCCTTTTCAGAGTGGGCAGAACCACTGCTTTGTCTCTTTGCTAGAGATAACATCTCTCACTAATTCTTATGAAAAACAGTTCCAACAGTACAGGCTGAGCGGTCCTACAGAGGCTGACCTGTAGAATTCAGGTCCTCAAACAGAGAGGTTGACCTAAAACACTGTTATCTCATCATCAGAGTCAAGGAGGCTCTGTTACTTTTCCTAACTGACAATTCAGAAAGACTTGAGTCTCTGATGACGATAATGATGATGAAAGAATGAACTAGGAGCTATTGGGAGCCATAGAACTTCCATCTTCTGAGGTGGAAACTCCTCTGGAAACTCAGGAAGAAAAGCAGAGGTGAGCAAAATAGAACTGCAAGTCTTACCTAGTCAACACAGCTCCATTCCTGACCTTCACATTGTTTGTTATCTATTAGCATTTGAATATGAAATATCCCCTGAAAGCTCATGTGATGACTGCTTAGTCCCCAGCTGGTAGCGCTATTTTGAGAGGTTCTGGAAACATTAGGTGGTGAAGCCAAGTTAAAGGAAGTAGGTCACTGGGGGCCATACTTTTGAAGGTTATATTTGGTCCCTGGAAACTTTCCTTCTCTCTGCTGCCCCTCTTTCACAAAGCGGACAGCCTCTGCCACATACTACTGTGGTCTTGATGGACTGTCTCGTTCCAGGCCCAGAAACATGGAGCCAATTGACCATGGCCTGAATCCTCTACAACCGTGAGCCAAAAAAACCCCAAAAACAACCAAGAAAAAAAACCTTCTTCACAAGCTGGGTGGTGGAGCTGGTTAGTGGTGGTGCATGCCTTTAATTCCAGCACTTGGGAGGCAGAGTCAGGCAAATCTCTGTGAGTTTGAGGCCAGCCTGGTCTACATAGCTAGCTCCAAGACAGCTAGGGCTACACAGAGAAACCCTGTCTCGAAAAAACAAACAAACAAACAACAACAAAAACTTTCTTCCCTTAAGCTGTTTGTGTCAGATATCTTGTCAGAGTAATGAGAAAAGTTAATAATCCAGTGTCATAATTCATTAAGTTCATCCTTTTGCTTAAGCAATGAGACTTGGGCTTCTAGAGAAATCTATATCATCTCTCTCTCTCACACACACACACACACAGAAGACCACTAGAAACTTACAATCAGTCATTTTCTGTCTGTATGTCTTCTCTACACTGTCACCTATGTGACCCATTAAGTCACCCACTGCCTTACCTCCTGTGGATCAGTGTGCTACAAAAAACATGCATACAAATCTTGATTCTTCTAGCACTAATAGAAAACCCTTAAAAAAGGATTCTCATTGTTTTGGTTTGGGAAGGTACTCATTCTAGATAATCGGCATTGGCCCTGATGGTATACATAGACAAACATACAAACTACAAACATAACATCAAATTGAACATTTAAAAGTTTTTTTGTTGTTTGGTGTTTTTTTTTTTTTTTTATTTGCTTGTGTGTGGTTTTTTTGTTGGTGTTTCCTTCTTTGTTTGTTTGTGACAGGGTTTTTCTGTGTAGACTTGGCTCTGCTGGACTCCCTTTGTAGACCAGGCTAGCCTTGAACTCACTAAGTGCTGGGATTACAGGAGTGCACCACTGCACCTGTCTGGTGTTTTTTTTTGTTTGTTTGTTTTGTTTTGTTTTGTTTTGTTTTTTTTAGGCAAGATCTTGCTTGGTCTATAACTTTGGATCAATGTCCTGTCTTTTAACTACTTTCCAACTACCCATTTATATAAAAACCTCTGTTCCATATTAAATTACTTAGTATTTCAGCAAAGCATCAAATACTCTTGGTTCCATGCATTTCCTATTCTATTCCTTTGCCTCTAATGAACCACTCACTGTCCTTGCAAAATTCTCATTCTTTAAAGATTCAGCTGAAAACCCAAGCCTTACCACCCACCACTCTTAAAATTACTCTCTTCATCCTTCCCTTTCTCTAGACTGTATTCATTTATAAATGTCTTATCTTCCCCCCAAGAATTCAACCTCCTACAGAGACAGAGATTCAATAGATTCACCCTTCTATCCTTCAGTTCCTAATGCAATGCCTTATGCTTAGGCAGGACTCAGAAAACTATTGATAAGTGAATGGTCCTTCAGAAATGCTCACTACACATCAACCACCTTCATTAAGTAGCAATGGAGGAGGGTGAGTTTAGAACCAGCCTTCATTAGCTCTCTGAAACAGAAAGAGCCTACCAAGAAGCTGGTTATCTTCAGACAGCCAACATCAATTTGGAAATGGAAATTCCCATTCTGGAGCTGGAGAAATAGCTCTGTTGGCCAAGCCTGATGATGGAACCAATGCAACGTAGGAAGAGAGAACTAATTTCACAGAAATGTCCTTTGACTCCCACACATGAGCTACAGCACATATACACACCAACACACAATAATTATATATGTGTGTGTGTGTGTGTGTGTGTGTGTGTGTATGTATGTATGTATACTCCCCGAGTGCTGGGATTAAAGGGATGCACCACCATCACCCAGCCTAAATTTTAAAGAAATCTGAAGCCAGGCAATGATGGCATACACTTTTAATACCAGAACTCTAAGTGTTGAGGCCAACCTACAGAGTCTGTTCCAGGACAGGAAGAAACCCTGTATCAAGATCCAAAAACAAAAAGACATAGTGGAGCTTGGTAATGCATGTCTTTAATCTCAGCACTCTAGAAGCCAGGTAGGAGAAACTCTGTGAGTTCAAGACCATCCTGGTGTACAAAGTGAGTTCTAGGACCTGCAGAGCTGTTATACAGAGAAACCCTATATGGAAAAACAGACAAACAAATCCCCCCCCCAAAAAAAAGGAAAAGAAAAAGAAAAAACGAGCTCAAAAACTCAAACATAGCATGTTGTACTGAACCAGATTTTCTTCAAGACACTAAGATAGCATGAAAATCTCCTTGCTTTCATCACTGTCTTCAGTCTATAAGGAAAAGACACAGAAATAAGGATTTGGGTTTTTCTTCTGTTCTTCGTACTCACACAATCTCAGCCACTCTCCCAGATTGTAACACAGCATAGCATTGCAAGTCAGCACAGCAGACTCAATGTTCCCAGCATGGCAGAGGAAGGAAACAGAAATAATTTCAAAAAACCATTTGGTGCAACAAGTGCTCCAAGATGAACTCCACACATAAATCCAGTGTTCCATTCCACTCTCACTGACCATGTTTGAATCTACTAGGAATTATGGCAGGATATGCTCTGAATCTCACCCTGCCCAAGACACCCAAAGACTAAGATTCCTGGTCCTAGAAGCACCTTATCCTGCAGCTAGTGTATAAATTGACAAAATTTGAATCTGTAGCGGGACTCCTTAGATCTGGAGTAATTCAGGCCCCAAGGTCCATGGTTCCCATAGATGCACTAGTGTAGACTGACAGAGCCACCAGTGCTTACGTATAAAATGATGAACTTGGTACCCTAGAGACAACATACAGAAGACGTGCAAAAGCCAAATGTGTTCTCTTCTAAGTCACGCATTATATTTAATTGATAATAAGTCAGAAGCTAACTCCTATGACCCCATAAGATGGCCAAAGGAATTTCAAATTAGGTATATAAAACTCAAAAGTTTCCTGCTTTGCATTATTGGTAGGAAGATGGCAATTATTTACAGAAGAGTAACTATGTATCAAGTTTTGTTTTTTGTTTTTTGTTTTTTTTTGGAACTACTTATTTAATCTTTACAATAACCTTCTCTGCTTTTTTTTATACTCAAGTAAATGGCAGAGCTAGGACTGAACTCAAGCCTATCCAGCTGAACCTTAAGTGTGTTTCTTTTCCGTGAAAGCACACTGCTTATTGCCTACTTTGCTCTCATAAATATATTTCACAGAACCAAATGCAGTATGGCCGCCTCGGTTGGACTGCACCACAGGAAGTAGTAGAAAAACGAATGGACTCCAGATAATAAAGTCTATAAATAACTAATAATGGTGCATAATATGCCAATGTTGTCTGCTCATACAAATGTACTGCACAGTATTTCAACATTAGGGACAAGTATATGAAGGGTAAGCCAGAACTCTACTATTTTTGTGACTTCTCAGTAAATCAAAATTATTCTAAAATAAAAGTATGTTTTCAAGTACAAGAAAAATTTAAAAAGCAAGGAAGTTTTAAAACCCAAATATCACCCTGAACTTGATAGTTATCTTGATGTCTTCAAAGGAAGAGAAAAATGAAGTCTTTCCTATGATCATCAATTTTAAAGCTGCCAAAGATATCACTTATGGTTTCATCATATTAGGACATTGTTTCTGAAAGAAAGGGAAGAAGGAAGGAAGAGTGAGAGCTGGTGAGAAAGCTGAATTGGCAAAGATGTTTGCCATTAAGCCTAACCACCTAAGTGGAAGAAGAAAATCAGAGAACTGACCCCTAAGAGTTGTTCTCTGACCTCCACACATGTGTCATGGTGGCTGGCATGTGCGGGCACACACACACACACACACACACACACATTTTAATAGAACAATTAGGTTCTGTATCAAATATCTTGGCTGACCAACAATAAAATTCAGCCTGGTAGCAAAAAAGGAGAGAGAGAGAGAGAGAGAGAGAGAGAGAGAGCCTTACCAAATTGATGTGACAGCAGGTGACCCAACAGCTGCCTTACAACATGCTGAAATAGGCAGTTGTGACTAACTGCGAAGCAGAAGCAACACAAGGCAACCCTCAGACAAAGGTTAGGGAGAAGACACTCAGCTGTGAGACTTTGAGAAGCACCCACAGGCCAATCCAGCTGACCCACAGTAGCCACAGAGACAGCTTCACCTCTTTCTGAGCTAAGACCTCATGAACAGAGGTCCATGATCAGAAGAAACCCAACTGATGACAGCAACACACTCTACCTCCACACCCTCAGCCCCAAACCCTGAGACCAGTCTTCCATTTGTGTGTGTTTGGCAAGGGCTGGTGATCCTGCACTGATCTCCTCCACTCCAACATGCCCGCATATAGAGAAGTTGTTCTTCCCAGACCAATCTATCACCTTCAACGAGAAGCTATTTATCCATCCTAGCACCACAATGTGTGGTGTGTGTGTTGGGAGCTGGGGGCGGGGGACGTTTGGTGCATAAATTTTGAGTGTTTCTACTATGGTAAGCAGGCTTGGGGTCAGAGACCATCATAACTTAGCTCTCTTTCTTACTACTTATCCAGGATAAACATCCAGTTTTATTTTCTATATGCTTATTTGTGTCCGTTCCATCTCAGGGTTTCCAGGCCTTCTGGAGACTTATTATTATTATTATTATTATTATTATTATTATTATTATTATTATTA